AGAGAGAGAGACGGGGATGGAGGGAGAGGGAGGGAGTGATTGGTTGACTTCCTCAGGCTACCTGAGCTCCCCTTGCTGTAGCACAAATGTATTGCAATTGGGTACGTCCACTCTGCCATTGAATTGAAAGGAGTCTTCATCGGGGGTGGCCTGGATTAACGCCCCCCATGCTGCTACAGTTCCTTTTGCATTTGCCTGCAGCCGTTTCGGGAGCATTGTGTGTGACATCAGATTGAGATATAGACTCCTTCGATAGCATCCCTTTTGGGACCTTATGCTTCATGATAGGAAGAAATGCTGTCCTGGCCCGCCAGAAACCCCGGGCCCAAACACCGGGCCCAAACTACGCGCCCCTGCTGTGGGCGTTGGTGAGGACATCAATTTGGGCATGGTGGTGGTGGGATACACTTGGACTCCAGCGGCCGGCTATGACGAGAGTCGCTTCAAGGGCACCTTGCAGGCGGGCGGACGCCAAGCATGTCGCCGCCGGTCTTTGACGGGTCGCCGGACTAATATTGACTAATTATTCATGGAAAACTGACTTTTGGACCTATTTTTAGCAATGTTTTGAGCCGAAGTCTAATCCTGGCAACTGGGGTGACAGTGACCATGCCACACAGAATCGGGGGATGAAGCGCGGACTGGACCTAGGAAGAACCTGCATGTTGGTCGTGCGTATCCGTTTGTTCTGCCAGGTGAGAATACGACGAGCAGAAGGAGCTGTGAAGTTGGGTGACGATATACAAACACAAACCTCAGACCAACTGAGTCATGTAGACCTTTTCTAGAATCTAGAATTGATTGTTGCGGAGATGATTAGTATTGTTTTTGGGGTTAGAGTCTTCCCCTTGCGACCGGGGCATGCGAGCGCAGGCGAGCGCATGCGACCGGCGTCAAAGGCAAAAGCTGAAGGCTGAAGGTCCACAAGAACCGGATGTCCAGAGTGATGAGATGTTCCGATCATAGGAAGTTTGTCTTACTTTCATGAGCTCATGTTTGGATCTTCTATTTGGTCGAAGTATAGCGACCTCACCCGACGTCACTCCAAATTACGACTTAACATGACCTAACATTTGGAAACAACAGACTACTGTTGGGTGAGGTTGCAAAAAAAGGTTGGCCCCTCAGACCAACTGAGTCATGTTGCTGTTTTGTTTCTGACTTTTTGTGTGACTTCGTTTTGACTTTTTACTAGACTTTTTGGACGTGTTTTCTACTTTTGACTTTTTGGACTTGTTTTCCGACTTTATTTCTGATTTTTATTTGCCTTGTTTTTGGACTTTTTGGAGTTGAGTTGCTTTCTAATGTTTACTTTGATACAGACATGTTTCGGACCTATTTTTGACTTTGACTTTTCCATTTGACTTCTTTGGGACTTTATTTGACTTTTTACACAGTCTGTCCTGGCCTTACCATATGAAGTGTTTGTATTTTGGTTTTAAACAGCCATAGGTTTTCAAGATTTAATACCAATAAATGGTCCGAACGCCGAAGGCCAAAGGAACGGTCAGAACGGCTTAGAACTAGTTCGATTGGCTATCACAGACATGGGGCAAAAAAAAGGGGCAACACGCAACTACTTGTACTTGACAAAATTAAACCAGGTTAGAAAAAGATAAGGCCAAAGAGGTTAGGTTCATCGATGTGGCGGGCAATGAAACTTAAGTTTAAACCTTAAAAACTAAGAACCAAATGAATAGTGCGAGCGCTTCTTCAAGGATGCGTGACCTATCCTGCGTCCATGCTAGTAGCTTAAATAACCTACTTGATCAAGTAGGGAGGGGGGCAGCGGGCTTAATTGAAAAACATCAAACAACTGAACATAACTGAACACTTTCAGATGCTGGGTCTGGTTTCGAACTGGTATATTGGCATATTGGCATCAAACGCGTTTCGATCGTTTTCCACTGGATACGCCTACCCTTCCGACGGGTTGAAAATTGCCTCTTGAATGGTCCGAATAGGTTCGAACGCGTGAGAATGGGTTTCGATGCATGTTCGCGTAGCGCCATATTTCTTGAATCAATATATGATTTGTCAGCCAAATGTATCGCATTTGGTTTAGCATGTATTTACTCCACGACGTCATCCAATGAACAACTGCTGTGGGCCCGCATCTTGATCATCCCGCGCGGCACCCGGAGTCACAGTCACACCTAAACCATCGCCACGTGTCTTGAACATGCACATGCAGCCACAGAGCATGCATGCAGAAGAGGACTTCCTCGGAGCGAATGGAAGAAGGAAGGCAAGCGGAACGTCTACGCGATCGTGCGATGTTGGCCCAAGCCCCCACGGAGTGGATGGATCCTTGGTCCCAAGACGGGGATGGTGGGGCGAGCGCCGGAGCGGAGCGTCGACGCAATTTGGAGCTCCTGAAATTGGGATGTGGGGTAAGAAGCTTCCTTGTTGAGCCGGGTCATTGATCCAGATTTGGTCTAGATGTATATATTTATATATCATTTCCTCGCACAATGGCCAGATTTGTACAGCAGAGGGATATCGGAGGTAGTGCAGTGCAGGATGACAGGAATTTTGTCGACTGCATGGACTGCGACGGTTTCGTCACTCGTTTGTCGACTCACAGCGTGCGAAGCAATTAGACTCCACTCATGACAGCAAAGAACTTGAGGATGGAGTGGAGTCAAATTGCTACATGAGATCAAACTACTTGAGGATGGATCACACTACTCCACTCATGGAATCTAAGATCCATTCGCGCACTGCTTCTGTGACCTTGCAGTGGGCCTCCAGTTCTCACCGGCTTGCAAGGATGGGACAGAGCTTTGAGGAGCATCACACTACTCAGATTGTGCACTTTCAGCCGCAAATTGGAAGCTTCTGGAGTGGGGAAACAGCGTCATCCCTCCCCCTAGGCTAGAGCATTTGAACATAATTGAACAATGTTCGTCCATTGGCTTGGAAGTCAGAGGTGGAAGGTTCAAGGTGGCTTTTACGAAAAAGGGGACTTGCTTCAAGAAGTGTGCGGGGACACGGGGACATGCGCAGGCCTGGCGTCGGTGACAGGCCACGGTGTGGAATCCATTGGTTTCGTTTGATTAGCAGGGTGTGGGTGTGGCAACTGACCAATGGAAAAGCCGGAGGTTGGTGGTCACAGCAACAGTATTTGAGGATACCCATGGGCTCTGAAGAAGTAAATGGATGAACGGATGAACTGGATCCCAGACTTTGACAATCAGATCTTTTTTTCGATTCATGTTTGCTAGCAGCCCGCAGATCTGCGACACGGAGGCTTTTGGTTTGGTTTTGATCTCCTTCACAGGTCACACCCCACAGCCCTACCAAGCCCATTGGTGAAGCTTTGCACGTTCTCAACTGACTCCACCCAGCACAACTGAGTCACTCCACCATGCGCTTGCCTGCCCCGGCTCTCCCACAGCTCCGCAGCTCTGAACTGCGGAAGAATCACCTCACCTCGCCAGGGATGGGACGTTGAACCCCGTTTGGAATGAATCCTTTGAGTTTGACTTCGATTGGGCCCGCGATTGGCGACCTCAAAAGGTGGCGGATGTGGACACTCGCAGTGGCTTCGACGTATGTGGGGGTGTGAACGTAGTGGGCCGATGGCGGTGAGAAACTGACAAAGTCTCAGGGGGAACGCATGGAACAGTGAGGATGGTTGCGATGTTTGTGTGTGCGTGTGTGTGTGTGTGTTTTTTTTTTCTATGTTCAAGTCTTTCAATCATCAATTTATATACAGGAATAATAGATTTGACATGATTTGACAATTTGGATTGTTTATTTTTCCTTGTGACTCGTCGGTCTTTTGGGTAACATGATCCACCAGGCAGATCTGTTTGTTCTACAAACCGGCGCCGTGGAAAATATATTGCGGCATTTGGAATGTTTTGAGATGAAGGTATTCTATTATGAAGGGTGTTCCAAATGCGTAGATCCAAAGGAGTGCAGGAGGCGATGACTCACTGTCTTTCTTGCGATGTCAAGGGGCCCGATCCCATGCTGAAGCCAGCGAGTGCAAGACATTTCTTTGTCCCTCAGGACACGGGTGAAGGAACTGTTGAAGACCATAGAAGGATCATAACGGACATGCATTTACAAAGAAATATTGCAGAATCGAAACCAGCATGACTTGGAATACCTGTAATCCTACCTTTTCCTCCCAATCTACCTCCTTATGCTTTCACGCCTCTCCCTCTTACTGCCCCGCGGCAGGAGGGGCAATTCGGTGCACTCCAACAGCTCCATGGTTCGCAAGTCTAAGTCACAGGCCCAATGGGGTGAAGACGAACTGTGCACCGGCAGAAAATACTGAATGCGATGTGTCAACGTCCCAGCTCTTAGTTGCATTATAATGCACTCATCGGGGCAATGGAAACCGCCCGTCCATCCATCCATCGCTTCCATACACGTTAAGCCCGTGGTTTCGGAACAAGTGGGTTTGTATTGCAGTGAGGAGACCCGCCACAAACCCCTCCAACATCGGATGCCGTGGGGAGACCCACGCTGCTCCGCCGTTCTCCGAGAGGTCCTGAACCCCACCATCCGCCCCACGGTCGTCGGGGAGCCCAGCGGGAAGGTCTGGGGCACCGACGATGTGTTTGCGAAGTCGATTTGCACGTTTGAGTACTTGGGATTGAGGGGGTTGGTCTTAAGACATGTCAACCTGAGTGTGCGCCATCTCAACTCGAATCACGGTGGTCGCCATATGACAGTGTGCTGTGCGCCGGTGGAGTTCTGACGGGTCGCTGGGGGTCCGAAGGAAGTCTAAAACACAAGAAACTCTCCATTTGTGAGGTTGCCACCATTTGAAAAACATTTGTGTGTTGGAGAAATGGATGAGAATTTCGTAGAGCGATGGCCAATTCCGCTTTTCACCGACCCCCTACTCAACAACGGGTGGACGATGTCGTAAGGGCATGACTCGATTGATCTCGATTTCAACATTAGGAAACCTCAAAAGAATCGAGGTGTTTTGCGGCAGCGTAAGTCGAGACGAACCCACAGTTGTCATACACATGCATTGATAAACTCAGGGAGAGAGAGAGAGAGAGAGAGAGACGGGTCTGGTGGATTTTTCGACCAGGCCCCTCGGAATCGTCTCATTGGGTCCCCGGGATGGTTCGATCCTTTGTGATGTCCGGGACCTGCGGAAAAATCCAGCTAGGACGATGGTAAAACGATGTACACTCCCGAAAACTAACATAGACCCTGACAATGGCCCCCTGGAAGAGTGTTTTCCTCTACCAACCAGTGGCTTCGAGGGTCCATGTTAGTCTTCCAAGGAGTATCTAAGCCTTTTTCTCTTGGCACTTAGCCGGCCTAGGTCACTTGGCAAACTCATCCTTGTTCTTCTTCCTTAACTCAACTCGTCAGCATATTCATACGTTACTTGTATACCGTTTGGGAAGTGGATTGTTTGTCCTCATCGGAACAGGAGATATTCAGGATATTCAGTGCCTCTCTCACCCTCCTCTCCAGGTTATGGAGGACTCAGATGATGCGGAAGTCGCACAAAGTCGTCAGGTGCGGCGCCTGAAGGCCGAGGCGGGGAGACCCGGTGAAGCGGCGGCTGGGGGGCGCCGATTCGGATTCTTACACAGAGGATTCGGATTCCTTAAGGATCAGGAACGCACCAACCATGACTAGGAGCAAGAAGCTACCAGGGGCTCCTTGCATCGCTCGTAGGAGCAAGGACGCTACTAGGAGCAAAGGGCATCGCTTTCTAGAACGAACTTCGCCGTTGCATGGCCCTGCCAAACGCTGGGAAGCTTGCGGCAGCTGCTTGCGGCCTCGTAGCCTTTCCGCTCGCTCCAGGTGGGTTCGATGTCTCGGAGCTTGCGGCGCTTAGAGACCCAGCTCTATGACCTCCTGGACCCAGGCGTACGTGAACAAACAGAAGAGCTTGCAATGGGTGGGTGCTTGACCGCTAACCACTCGGTCAAAACCGGGAAGAGACCACATGGAACCTGAACATGTACCTGACTGGAAGACGATTTGTCCTCTACAACCCACTGGTTTTCAGGTTCCATGTGGACCTCTTTCAGGTGTAAAAACCGGTATTGATATGGGACCGAAGGGAGCGTTTTCTGACGGCCGATTGGACTGGGTCCGGGCCCGGCCGAGGGACCGGGGCGTAGAAAGGCACGTCAGCTGTACGGGTCACGTGAGGGGTGGGAACACCCCTCCCGCTAAGTCACCTTGCCATGTGCAGTCCATGTTGGGTGCATGGCTGTGCAAACAGTCCATGTTAGCTAATTGGGTCCAAGCATGTGTGTCCACGATAGTCTGCGAACGTGTATTGCTGACATGAGGAGAGTTGGGGAGCATCGCCGCTTCTTTGGTGAAGCATGGTGAAGCGGGGTTGGTCGATAGCCAATAGCTGCGAACAGAGCCATTTGTCCGAAGCAACCAGCACAACTGGGAGAGTCTCATTGGAGTAGATTCGCAAGCGCAGTAGGTGCTGGCCCACTTGGTTATACAAAATCTTATTCTATTCAGCCCTTGTGCTGGACCAGCAGGCACCAGTAGTGCCGGATGTGAAGGCAGGCAGATGTGCTTCGAGGATCCCATGATAATAGTAACGGCTTTTTCTGACAGCCTTTTGCCATCAGCTTTTGCGCCAGGCACTTCAACGCAGGCCACACTGAGACCACACATGCTAGACTACCCGGCCAGCCCAAGTCATGATCATCCGGCCAGCCCGAGTCGCTCGGTTGTGCAGAGTTCTTTGTTTGCGTGCCCCTTTCTGTCAAGCCCCTTCAAGTCGATGTAACGACTATATCACACTAGTATATATAGAGTTTGTTTCTCCAGGTTTCACACTCCTGTGCAAATCCAAGGTTATGATCACCCGTCCAGCCCGAGCTACGATCATCCGGATAGCCCGAGTACTGCGCATCCGGACAGCCCCGTTGGTCCAGCCTATGATCATCCGGCCAGTCCATCATTCGAGCCGCCACATATTGGGCAGCAAGAGAGTCCCCACTATACCCGAAGCCAGGAGTCCTCGTGCCCTCCTGAGATTATGCAAGCTGGTCACAGGCACTTGTTCATTGGGGTGTTCATTGTTCATGAAGTGAGCACCTGGAAGACGATGGTTGAACTGTAAACAGGATGTTTGGAATCCTTATACTAGAAGCAGTTCTCATAGCAAGGTCGAGATATGTCGAGATGATGCAGAAAGTAGCCGAACGCATGCCAAATATAGGGGGCACATGGATGTGACTGGCTTGTCAATGGGTTGCAAAGAATATGTTTCAGATTCACCTAGATGGATTTCACCTTGATGGAGTTGCTGTGATTCTTTCAGCACGGCCAAGGCGCATGGGCCGCCCGACCAGTGAGGCAACGGACAGGAGTTCGGGGCTCATTGATGAGAGCATGATGCTTGGCTCGGGAAGGGCACCTAAGATAAAGGAACATTTCTGGAAGGAGTTATGTTCTCCAGCATTTCTTGCGACGGTCTCCTAAAGATTTTCTTGCTGCTCATCACAAAGCCAATGTGGGCAAAAACATGTAAAAATCTTAGAGACTTGCTTCACAGATGTTCACAGCATGTGTGACAATCATGGACATACAACTCCAAGACCGTTTCCACACCAATGCCGTCAATCCGCCTAGAAGATGTGGCTGCAGCAACAAAATGAGTTAAGATCAAGGTGGAAGCTGAAGAAAAGGCCCTTGGACCAGAAGTGTTGAGGGCCCCATCTTCTGGGTGACCCTGTGAGCTTTGTAATGTGCTGTATGTGTTTGTTTTTGTTTTTAGTCTTTATTTTTAATAAGTGCACTTCATAGGCGAAGGTTGCAGACTACGAGAAGGCTGCCTCATCCCAGGTGAGGCCCTCATCTTGAAACTGAGGCGGCCAATTCCAAGACGCCCCGACAAACAACTGCCATCCTGCATGGGGATTAGGAATTTAGTCCCCTGTATGACCTAATGTCCACACATCGAAGTTCCGAAGCGCCTCGTGGATTCTTTTGCACAGCATCGGCTTTTGGGTCCGCCACTTTGGTCGGTCTACCCTGCTTTCCGCCACTTTGGCCGGAAAGAGCCGTCAGGAATCTGCCAGGATGTCCCCCAGATGCAGATCTCCAGTGACACGCGCGGTGTCAACCTGACAGGTGAGGGAACATGTCAACCTCAAAATGACCAGACAGAAACTGGATGAAAGTAGAGTCGTTCACAAGGCTTGGATTTCAAGTGCATTTTGACTTGAAGACTTCGAATTAAACCATTGGACCAATTATGTCCAGACATGTCCAGACCATGTGGTTGCAAACTTCAGCTTCGGTGCGGCGCTTTTTTCTCTGCGTTGGTAGCTCTCGAGGCGCGAAAAAACGGTTTCACCGGCGGGCTGTTCAAGATACCCGCTGTTTCCGGGAGCGCTCTTCGGGCTGATCCATCCGGGGCAGCGCTGAAGCATCGCAAAGCATGGCGAAGCACTGCGTCAGCGCTGAAGCGCAAGGGAAACCTGTAACAAGCTCTGTTGACATTGCAGCGTGTTAATATTTTAGTGATGATGCCACCAGGAATGGATGGACCGAAGACACTCGAGTTCTACAGGCCCTATTTGCAAAGATGCAAGTACGCCTGGAAAACCCGTCACCGATCGTCAGTTTTGCGTGCTTCCTTCCTGGCATCACGCGCGCACCTGCAAACGACGGAGATTTGGAGGTGAAGAAAAGGATCGACTGTTTGCGGCGTTGTGCTCGAGGAGCACCTTTGGTTCCAAACCCATCTTTGCCCGAATCGACTGGTTGCGGGCCATTCCCACAAATCAAACCAAGTGCGTCGCAGCACCTGAAACAGACACACATGGAAATCAACATTTGGATGGTGGAGTTTGCCCCATCTTCGGTCGTCCAGTCCAGCGTTCCAGCTCCATTCTCATGCAGGGAGGTTCCGTTTCGGCTTCCCAGTCGTCTCCTCTCGGCACGAGCGCTAGGCGAAGAACCGGGCTGCACAGCAGGAAGAAGTACTGGGTGTGTGAGAAGCCCAGAGTTGTGCAGCGTCATTGAGAGATCGTTTTCCGGGGAGCCAAGCATACAGCTACAAGATGCTATAAGTAGTTTTTTTGGGGGGTCAAATCATCATAATCACTGCCACAGAACAAATCTCCAAAGGGGTGCTTATTTGTACGTCCTCACAGCAGTCACAGCCCAGCTCTTCTTTGTGGGGAGAAGGCGCCCCCTTCCTCTGGGGGTAGCTACCATCAGCTCCCGCTGTCACTCAGGTTGGGCCAGTGGGTGTCACAGATGCGCTCCGAGCAGGACGGCGGGAAGATGCCGGTTGGACACGTGCGGACGTCGCTCCGCGGTGACGATGCCGGGTGAGCCAATCAGAGTCATCCGGAATTCAGTGAACAAAATGGAACAAAAAAGAATTGCAAATTCAGTTGAAGAAGTGAAGAATATCTGGCCAGAAAGGCTTGCAAGCAGCTGTTTCATGAGGCTTTTCTTTGGGAGTCAGAAGCTATCGGGGTCATGAGGTGCACAGAGTTCTTTGGAACAATGTCGATCACGCAGAACAGACTCTCAAGAAGCCCAGGTGATCCAAAATAATTTGATCTTGAAGATCGCTGAAAGTGGTACCACCCAGAGGTCACATCAAAGCTTGCGTGTGACATCCCCTTTTTCTGTCTAGCCGCTGGAGTCCAATCCAAATGCCTTAAAACCGTATCGTGTCGTGTTTGATCCTTTCCTTGCACGCACAGGGCAGGCATGCCTCAGAGCTCAACGACAACTTGCGGGTCCGTCGGGCGCCGCGTCAGAGCTCAGCGCCGCTTCAGAGTCCCAGCCACGCCGCGGGGTGAAGCGCCGCGTGCCGAGACAACGCCCATAGATAGTGGGTGGATGGTGCCCCTGTCCTCCTATCACTAGCTTATAGAGTGTTCTTGCTCCTAGGCCTTTAGTGTTCATCATCTCCCAGGACAATCGTTCTGATGCGAAGCTCGTTTGGAGGGTCAAGGTATCTTCCCCAGAAAGATGCCCTTTGAGGATCCACTCTTTTGGAAAGACAACCAGGTAGGTTGGGGTTTAAGGGTGTCCTCAGAAGCACTACTGAGTGCAGATGCCATTAGACACAATCAATACCGATTAGATAGCCTAGTGAAGGCCCCTACTGCCCCAGTAGTCAATAGTCCAATGACCATATTATCTATACCGTCTATACCGTGTGTGTGTGTGTCCCACCCTGGACAAAGGGTCTTACCCCACCACTTTCAC